CTGGATCTTTGTACGCTCAATCCTTAACCGTTCCTTTTCTTCCGCAACTAGGGATAATTTCATTTGTAAAATTACTACTTCCTTATCCAGGTCCCTATCATGGGGATTTGATTCAATGTCACCTTCCAAATGCATGCCATCCTCAGAATTATTACCAGTGTCAGCCATTTTGGGAAATAATAGCACCAGATCTTACTACCAGCCACAGAACTTACTGATATACTGTAAAATAATAAAGCACACAGCAAGGTACATATACTGAAGTAGTATATTCACAAGGAGTTGTCATTTGACTCCCCCAAATTAAACAGAATTGCACACAAAAAGAAAATCCTGGCAGAAAAAAAAATAAGAGCTACTGCACCTGCAAAGGTAAATTATTTCCAGAAATTTAGGTGAGCATAAAACTCTAAAAATCAGCAAGATTGTACCTGCAAGGGTAAATTATGCACAAAATATCAAGTATTAATAACACCCTAAAAATCAACAATATGGCACAGAAAGGTAAATGATTTATAGAGTATTAACCCTTTGAGGGTTTTGGTCGTACTAGTACGTTTTACGCGTAGGGGTTTTTGACATACTAGTACTCATAAATTCTAGCGGCCTCAAATCTAGTGGGAGAAAGCTGGTACCTTCATATGAAAGAATGGGTCTATGTGGTCAGTGTGCACAGTCTAAAAAAAATCCTGCAGCACACAGTGCATAATGAGAAAAAAAAAACTTTGACCATTTTTTTTAATAAATCAGCGACTTTGCAGTGTATTTTCGTATGGTATTTATTGTTGTATTCTAGTTTTCTTGGTCTCATTTTATAGAATGGAAGACATATTACAGAAATTGAGATGATTTTGACTGGTTTTACAATGAAAGGTGCCTTGAAATTGAGCTCAAAGTAGCAGAAATGTTCGATTTTTACCAAACTCAAAAGTAAACAAATCGTGCCAAGCGTGCAATACACGTCAACTGGTGAGTCTAATATTCTTTTACAAGTGCACCAATAATAATTTATACCATTTTTTACACTAATGCAGTATCTGCATAACAGTAAATCTTATATTTTTGTGAGAATAAAAATTCAAAGTGGAAAGCAAAAGAATATAAGATGGGGCATTTGAGACGTGACTAAGACTAAGAAATTCATTTTAAGTGCCAGGAATGTCTTTCATGTTTATTCTGGACCCTATTCGGAAATTGGCATACTTTTGAAATTTGTGTGAAATTGCAAAATGCTACATTCTGACACTGATACTTGATTGTTGAAATTTAATAAAGGTGGTTTCTTGCAACCATCGATAGAAAAAATGAGATTCTACGAAATATTCATTTTTATTGTCGAACTATGTACAGTGTAATTGGCCGAAAATGGGCTAAAGTTGGCAAAATCGCCGATTGCGTAAACATCGCCGAGTACCGCTAACTTTGCGAGAGCATAATTCGGTAAGTTTCTATCAAATTTCAAACTTTTGGTTTCTTATGATCGGGAAAAGATCTCTATCTTTTCATAAGAGAATAATATTTTTTTTTTTTTAAGAATTGGCCACCAGAAACGGTTTCGGAAGAGGGCATCGCCGCTCAAATTATGCCTCTCGCAAAGTTAGCGTTCGCGATGTTATCACTTCCTTGGTGTTTCCCACTTTGAGCCCCATTTTCGGCATTTCACTGTACTATTGACAAAAAACATAATTTTCGCTAGAACCATTTTTTCTATCGAATGGGTGCAAGAAAGTCCACCCATTTATAAATTAATTCCAGTACAGTGGTCAAATTTAGCAATTTCATTTGCATCCACAAATTTCAAAAGATGCCAATTTCCGAATAGGGTCCAGAATAAACAAGAAAGACATTCCTGGCACTAAAATGACATTTCCTCTAGTCATTAGTCACGTCTCAAGGCCCCTCTTATATTCTTTTTCTTTCCACTTTGAATTTTTATTCTCACTAAAAATATAAGATTTACTGTTATGCAGACTACTGCATTAGTGTAAAAAATGGTATAAATATTATTGGTGCACTTGTGAAAGAATATTAGACTCACCAGTTGACCTGTATTGCACGCTTGGCACGATTTGTTTACTTTTGAAGTTTGGTAAAAATCGAACATTTCTGCTACTTTGAGCTCAATTTCAAGGCACCTTTCATTGTAAAACCAGTCAAAATCATCTCAATTTCTATAATATGTCTTCCATTCTATAAAATGAGACCAAGAAAACTAGAATACAACAATAAATACCATACGAAAATACACTGCAAAGTCGCTGATTTATTAAAAAAAATGGTCAAAGTTTTTTTTTTCTCATTATGCACTGTGTGCTGCAGGATTTTTTTTAGACTGTGCACACTGACCACATAGACCCATTCTTTCATATGAAGGCCTACCAGCTTTCTCCCACAAGATTTGAGGCCGCTAGAATTTATGAGTACTAGTACGTCAAAAACCCCTACGCGTAAGACGTACTAGTACAACCAAAACCCTCAAAGGGTTAATTAATAATAACACCCTAAAACCAGCAATATTATAAACAAAGGTAAATTATTCACAGGGTATTAATTAATAATAACACCCTAAAAACCAGCAATATTATACAGAAAGGTAAATTATTCACAGGGTATTAATTAATAATAACACCCTAAAAACTAGCAATGTTGCACACAAAAGTAAATTATTTACAGGGTATTAATTAATAATAACACCCTAAAAACCAGCAATGTTGCACACAAAAGTAAATTATTTACAGGGTATTAATTTATAATAACACCCTAAAAACTAGCAATGTTGCACACAAAAGTAAATTATTTACAGGGTATTAATTAATAATAACACCCTAAAAACTAGCAATGTTGCACACAAAAGTAAATTATTTACAGGGTATTAATTTATAATAACACCCAAAAACCAGCAATGTGCACACAAAAGAAAATTATTTACAGGTATTAATTTATAATAACACCCTAAAAACTAGCAATGTTGCACACAAAAGTAAATTATTTACAGGGTATTAATTAATAATAACACCCTAAAAACCAGCATTGTTGCACACAAAAGTAAATTATTTACAGGGTATTAATTAATAATACCCTAAAAACCAGCAATGTTGCACACAAAAGTAAATTATTCACAGGGTATTAATTAATAATAACACCCTAAAAACTAGCAATGTTGCACACAACAGTAAATTATTCACAGGGTATTAATTAATAATAACACCCTAAAAACTAGCAATGTTGCACACAACAGTAAATTATTCACAGGGTATTAATTAATAATAACACCCTAAAAACCAGCAATATTACAAACAAAGGTAAATTATTATTTTAGTGTGAGTGTTATAGTGAATGCTTCCTCTGACCAACCCAGTAAAGAATGATTATTGACTTTCCAGGTTGCAAACTTGAATTACCACATACAATTTGATAATTCTCCCATATACAGGCCCCCATGTTATGCAAAAATGTGGGATAGCTGGGGGCTTGTGCCTGGTCTAAGGGCAGAGGTAAAAGTTACACACATCTCAAGCCCAAACCGTCCACCCAGGGCTATCCCAGTCAAAACAGAAAGCGCTTAGCCAGTATGTGTTACTTCAATGGGTTGGTTAACAGAGGGTTAGGCAAAAATCCCAATTAGGAAAATATATCTATTTAATCACCATAACATAACATAACAGAAAACCTTAATCGTAAACGCCCAAATGAGGGTACACACAACAGCTGGCTGGAGGTTCAGCCACCATAACCACTAGGCTTAGTCAGCGTCAGGCCGTCATTACACTACAAACCTCATTTCTTACTTCATCACTCATCCCACAGCACCCTGACCATGTCAGAGCCTGGGTGAACATACAGGTAAGCCATATGAAAACCTATGGCTTGAGTTGGATAAACAAAATGAGTGTACAACTACAAACTTATCTTAAATACACAGCATCTCCGACGCCAGCCTCTACACACCATGCTAATGTCACGTGACTCCCTCCCCACGCTTACTCTGCGTACCCAAACATCCTTGGAAAATAAATCATTAACAGAATTTCTTTATAATTACAGTTAGAGTACTTTACAGTACCCCCAAAAGCACATGATGAATTATAAAATTATTCTTTACAATTATAACATTCATATTATTATGGCACACTTCTCCACTATATGTACATTACGATGTCATGCAGAACCCTGCATAACATAAACCCATAGGATTATACAGTGCCTGTGGAGGGGGGGGGGGGATAGAAGGTATTCAGGTTTAATTTAGGGAACTGGAGCACAGACACAATTCCCTAAATCAAGAGCCTCTCACCAGCGTCAAGGAACCTCCCTTGAGAGGAAAGCTCGCATCCTGAATTTTGGCTCATATCCAGGAGCAAAAAATCGACCGAGCGACGGCTTGTATCCTGAAAAAACTCGCATGGTGGGGCACTTGTAAGCCAAGGTTCCACTGTACTTCAATTATAGGTGTCATTTTATAACTAAATGGCTGATCATCTTTACTTGTTTTAAATAAAGAAAAATGCTAGTGATATCATATATGCACTTGAGTCAGATCCTTACTATAATAGAAGAAGGTATTGTTTGTATTCTGTAAATCTGTACATATATAATGCATACACTCCATGGGGAAGTGGAACAGAATTCTTCCTCTGTAGGCCATGCGTGTCATAAGAGGCGACTAAAATGCCGGGAGCGAGGAGCTAGTAACCCCTTCTCTTGTATACATTACTAAAGTTATGAAGAGAAACTTTTGTTTTTCTTTTTGGGCCACCCTTCCTCAGTGGGATATGCCTGGTTTGTTGAAAGAAGAAGAATACATACAAAGTATTTGTACCATAGTTTATTTCCAGATTATTCAGTTAATTTGATGTCATATTATTTAAGATACAGGAGGGTCCTGCATATACAGCACCTTCTTTTCAGTGTTCCACATTTTTGTTGGCTTCATATTGAGCCAATGAATTACTTAAATATTAAAATTGCTCTTGGTATGTAAATTTGTTTCTCATTTACAGCGTAATGGTTATGATGTCAAGCACTTCCTCCTCTATTACTACTATGGGGGTATGATTTATACTGCAATAAAAAATTATGGAAGAGCGCAGTACTTCTTCCGTGTTTGCATCACAACTCCTGCCTTGGCTGTCTCTCACATCATGCTAGAAGCTTTTAAGAAATATATTCTTGTCTCTCTCATACTTGAGGGGAAAGTAAGTCTTACCTTTTGTACTTGTTGTGTAGAGTACTGTATATGAATGTATTAACAGTTCTTTTTATTCAGCAATAGCATTTTACCCCTCCAAAGAGTGTATTCTTTTAATGTTTCTTAGATTCTTCCAAAAATTAGATTGTGACTGGTATCCCTTATCTTCAGTCATCTGCAAAAACAACTGCTAAAGAAGAAATTTCTCACATAAGAGTTAGGGTGGAGTAGGATGGGGTTGTAGTTTTTAAACTGTAGTGTAGACATGCCTCTGGCAAGACTGAATGATGATAAAGAAAGTGTTTCTTCTTTTTTGGGTCACCCTGCCTCAGCAGGAAATACCTGATGTGTTAATAAACAATAATAAAGAGTTAGTAAGAAAATACCACACATTACATACACAGGTGGATCTAAACAGTCTACTGGCATGGTGCTTCTTCTCTTGCTTCCTTAATTACCAATTAATTTTGTTAAATTGGTCATAAAGAATGAGTAATTGGGCTTCTGCATTATGAGGTAAATTGTTTACTATCCTACTGGCATTAAAGTTAACTTAAGCATTATGGTCTTGTCATTACTGATTCTGTATCACCACTGAATGCACTTGACTCACATAATGACTTAATAGCATACTCATTGGAGAGGCTGTGTATAGATTTTAGAAAAAAAAAAAAAGAAAGGGAAATGCTGTCATGTACACTGCTTATTGATTTTATCTTGCACTGACATATTCTTGCATAAGAAAGCTGATAAATTAGCTGAAGAAAGTACTGTATTTTGAAAGGAGTTGAATCTAACCTTGATCTCTCTCTGTCTAGTATTAGAAATTATATTAGGAGAGAATTAAATAATGAATTTGAATGTCATAGGAATTCATTTAGATGCCTACATAGATCTATAAACCCACAATGATAACATGTTGAGTGTGTTAAGTGTATATACACAAATGTACATGAACAACTGCATGTGTAGTTTGAACTAGAACATAAGAAGAAATAAGAAACACTGCAGCAGGCCTACTGGCCCATGCAAGGCAGGTCCAATTCTTCCACCGGCTTAAGCTAATGCCTTAACCTAGTCAGGTTAGATCACATTCTTTTAAGGAATGAGCATGGCATCTGACCTAGTAGCACAAGCTAGTCAGGTCCAACTGACACCCACCCACACAAACTCGTGTAGTTATCTAACCTAACTACACAACGTCTTAGCTTCTATGAAGGTACTCAGGAGTTTGTTCCACTCATCCATAACTCTATTACGAAACCAGTGCTTTCCTGTATCCTTCCTGAATCTGAATTTTTCCTGAATCTGAATTTTTCCAACTTAAAGCCACTGCTGTGAGTCCCGTCTAGGCTAGATATTTTTAGCATGCTATTTCCATCCCCTTTATTAATTCCTGTTTTCCGTTTATACACCTCAGTCATATCCCCCCTAATTCTACACCTTTCTCGAGAGTGCAGATTCAGGACCCTCAATCTATCCTCATAGGGAAGATTTCTGATACATAGGATCAACTTTGTCATCCTCCTTTTGTACATTTTCCAGTGCATTTATATCCATTCTGTAATACAGTGACCAGAACTGTGCAGCATAATCTAAATGAGGTCTAACCAAAAATATATAGAGTTGAAGAACAACCTGAGGTATTCTATTATTTATACTTCTTGATATGAAGCCAAGAATTGTTAGCTTTATTGCGAACACTTATGCACTGTTGTCTTGGTTTCAGATTACTGCTAACCTGAACTCCTAAATCCTTTTTGCAATCTGTGATATTAAGATCTACGTTATTTAGTTTATATGTGGCATGGTTATTTTTCTGTCCAACATTTAGAACTTTGCATATGTCTACATTAAACTGCATCTGCCACTTCTCCGGCCACTGCATCAGTCTATCCAAATCATCCTGGAGTGCTCCAGTGTCCTCATTAGAATGAATTGGCTGGCCTATTTTGGTGTCATCAGTAGATTTGCGTATGTTACTATTTATTCCCTCATCTATGTCATCTATGTAAATTGTGAACAAGGAGCCCAATACTTACCCCTGTGGAACACCGCTTGTGACGTGCCCCCATTCTGATTTCTCTCCATTTATGCAAAATATTTGCTGCCTATTTGTCAACCATGCCTCTACCCAGGAAAAAATTTCTCCTCCTCTTCCTTGTGCCTTAGGTTTCCTCAATAGCCTTTGATGTGGAACTCTCTCGAAAGCCTTACTGAAGTCCATATACACAATATCATATTCAGTACCATGATCTACCTCCTCAAATACCTTCGTGAAAAGAGTTAGTAAATTTGTAAGACAGGAGCGCCCCATTGTAAAACCGTGTTGAGATCCATTCAATTTATGCCCTTCAAGATGGCTACGAATTGCCTCGGCAATTTTTGATTCCATAAATTTTCCCATTATGGAGGTAAAGCTTATTGGTCTACAGGTCGAAGCTAAGGACCTGTCACCTGCCTTGTAAATGGGTTTTACATTTGCCATTTTCCACTTATCTGGCACTATGCCAGTTTGTAGTGATATATTGAAAAGATTAGTCAAAGGTATTACCTGGAGTTGACCTGGAGAGAGTTCCGGGGGTCAACGCCCCCGCGGCCCGGTCTGTGACCAGGCCTCCTGGTGGATCAGAGCCTGATCAACCAGGCTGTTGCTGCTGGCTGCACGCAAACCAACGTACGAGCCACAGCCCGGCTGATCCGGAACTGACTTTAGGTGCTTGTCCAGTGCCAGCTTGAAGACTGCCAGGGGTCTGTTGGTAATCCCCCTTATGTGTGCTGGGAGGCAGTTGAACAGTCTCGGGCCCCTGACACTTATTGTATGGTCCCTTAACGTGCTAGTAACACCCCTGCTTTTCATTGGGGGGATGGAGCATTGTCTGCCAAGTCTTTTGCTTTCGTAGTGAGTGATTTTCGTGTGCAAGTTCGGTGCTAGTCCCTCTAGGATTTTCCAGGTGTATATAATCATGTATCTCTCCCTCCTGCGTTCCAGGGAATACAGGTTTAGGAACCTCAAGCGCTCCCAATAATTGAGGTGTTTTATCTCCGTTATGTGCGCCGTGAAAGTTCTCTGTACATTTTCTAGGTCGGCAATTTCACCTGCCTTGAAAGATGCTGTTAGTGTGCAGCAATATTCCAGCCTAGATAGAACAAGTGACCTGAAGAGTGTCATCATGGGCTTGGCCTCCCTAGTTTTGAAGGTTCTCATTATCCATCTGTCATTTTTCTAGCAGATGCGATTGATACAATGTTATGGTCCTTGAAGGTGAGATCCTCCGATATGATCACTCCCAGGTCTTTGACTTGGTGTTTCGCTCTATTTTGTAGCCAGAATTTGTTTTGTACTCTAATGAAGATTTAATTTCCTCATGTTTACCATATCTGAGTAATTGAAATTTCTCATCGTTGAACTTCATATTGTTTTCTGCAGCCCACTGAAAGATTTGGTTGATGTCCGCCTGGAGCTTTGCAGTGTCTGCAATGGAAGACACTGTCATGCAGATTCGGGTGTCATCTGCAAAGGAAGACACGGTGCTGTGGCTGACATCCTTGTCTATGTCGGATATGAGGATGAGGAACAAGATGGGAGCGAGTACTGTGCCTTGTGGAACAGAGCTTTTCACCGTAGCTGCCTCGGACTTTACTCTGTTGACGACTACTCTCTGTGTTCTGTTAGTGAGGAAATTATAGATCCATCGACCGACTTTTCCTGTTATTCCTTTAGCACGCATTTTGTGCACTATTACGCCATGGTCACACTTGTCGAAGGCTTTTGCAAAGTCTGTATATATTACATATATATATTACATACATATTATATATTACATATATTACATATATTTTTACATTTCTTTAGAACCCTTGCAAACAGTTCATCAGGGCCTTCGGATTTGTTATGTTTTAATTTCTCTATTTGTCTGAGGACCATGCCACTAGTTACCCTGATCGTGCATAGTTTATTATCGTCCTGTTCTACATAATTTATTATTTCTGGTATTTCACTAGTATCTTCCTGAGTAAAAATTGAGAGGAAGTAAATGTTGAAATGCTCACACATTTCCTTATCACTGTCAGTGATCTGACCTGAGTTACTCTTAAGTGGGCCTATCTTGTCCCTAATCTTATTTCTGTATACCTGAAAGAACCCTTTGGGTTAGTCTTTGAATCCCTTGTGACTTTAGCCTCATAATCCCTTTTTGCTTTTCTTATTCCTTTTTTTATTTCTATCTTTACTGTAGATGAATGGTTCAGAGAACCGACATGTTGATAAATTAGACACATATGCAACTCTTGGGTATCTTTATTGAGGAAACGTTTCGCCACACAGTGGCTTCATCAGTCCATATGTAGGAGAAACTTGAAGAACAGGAGGAGAATGAGGTAATCAGTCCCTCAACCTTGAGTCGATGTGTTCAGTCCATCAATCTTGAATAGAATACGGCATATCAGCGGAGAAGCAGCTTATAAAACCGTATGGCAGGAGAGGTGCAGCAGTCATAGGTCGTGTCACATTTGTTCAATGTGGAAGTAGGTCGTGCCCAAGAATTAGGCAAGCAAAGAATTCCTAAGTATTAATATCCTAGAAGTTGCTTGTCTGACAGATTCTTGAGATGATGGTTCCAATGAACCGACAATGTTGATAAACTAGAACATGATGCAACTCTTGGTATCGGTTTATGAGGAAACGTTTCCGCCACAGCAGTGCTTCTTCATCCAATGTAGGAGAAACTTGAAGACAGGAGGAATGAGGTAATCAGTCCTCAACCTGAGTCCGATGTTTCAGTCCATCAATCTGATAGATATGGCATATCAGAGTAGAAGCAGCTTTAAACCGATGGCAGAGAGCAGATCATATCGGTCACATTTTCAGTGAAGTAGGTCGTCCCAAGAATTAGCAAGCGAAAATTCCTAATACTTAATACTTAAATCTTCAACTGCCTAATCTAGGGCATGACCTACTTCCACATTGAACAAATGGACACGACCTATGACTGACCTGCACCTCTCTGCATACGGTTTATAAGTGCTTCTCCGTGTATGCGTAGTCTATCAAGATTTGATGGACTGAAACATCGACTCAAGGTTGAGGACTGATTACCTCATTCTCCTCCTGTTCTTCAAGTTTCTCCTTCGTATGGACTGATGAAGCCACTGTGTGGCGAAACGTTTCCTCAATAAAGATACCCAAGAGTTGCATATGTGTCTAATTTATCTTTAACTGAATATATTGATTTCTTAACTGCCCATTCTCTCTTTTGGTATACCTATATGTGCCTCTCTCTTGACCAGTCAGATGTTTTAATCTATTGTTTATTCACTTGGGATCATTTTTGTTAGCTCTAATTTCCCTACTCGGAACAAAAGTTGTCTGGGCAGTTAGCACTATGCTCTGAAACACATCATATTGGTAACCAACACCAGCTACCTGACCCATAAGTCATCCCAATTTAGCCCACCCAGTCAGTCCCATGAAGTCAGCCAATCATAAGTCTGGGACAGAGACTTGATTGCAGTTATCTGGGTAATTCCATGATATATTGAAAGTAAATGATTTGTGATCACTTTCCCCAAGCTCATCATTAACCTCAAGATTATTAACTAGTGATTCTCTGTTGGCAAGAGCCAAGTCAAGCAGGTTGTTTCCTCTAGTTAGTTCTGTCACAAACTGTTTTAAAAAGCAATCCTGAGCCATATCAAGAAAGTCACTAGACTCAAGATTTCCTGTCACATTGTTCCAATAAATTTGTCTAAAGTTAAAATCTCCCATTAACTCAACATTTTCATATCTAGGTGCCTTATGAATTTCTTCCCATAGCAGATCACCACACTCCTTATCAGGGTTTGGGGGCCTATAAATCATACCCAAAATTAATTTACTAGATGTAAGCAGAAGTAACAAGATGTACCTGTCTTCTTTACAGAAATAAAAGACACCAGCACTCCTTCCACTGTAATTGTTTTACACAGTGGCAGGATTGCTGGTGTGTCTTCTTTTTGGTTCTACTTCCTCCTTTCCTATTTTTTGCCACCTCTGAATTTTTCATTATTCTTTATAGTCTAATGTCTTTAAAATATATTTTCATTTAACGTCTGTATTTTCATCATTCCAACAGATTGGAAATATCCCAAAATACGCCTCTTTGGTGGTAACTCGCTTCATTAAGCCTTTAAGTCAAGTCTATTGGGATCTTGGAACAGCATTTGGCACAAATTGTCCAGACAAAGTATGCTCTGTTATAAATAAAAATCAAGAGACATTTGCGAGGTTTGTATTATAATTGTTTTTGTTGAAACACCCCCCCTCCCTTTTTTTTTTTAAGCTTTGTAAAATAATTGCTACTTAAAACTGCTGCCTGTCAAATTTGTGAATAATTTTGTCTCCACATTATTGAAATTAGTTTAGTGTTGAATGATGATGAAAGTATTTTCTTTTTGGGGATTTTCTTTTTGGGTCACCCTGCCTGGTGGGAGACGGCCGATTTGTTGAAAAAAAAAATGACTCCTTGATAATTACTTGTGATACAATGTTCTTGTGTATACACAATACCTGTGTGTGTGTGTGCTACTGCCAGTTAACTTTATATTTTACAACAGTAACTGTTGATGGCAGGCAGTTTTATTCTGAAGCTCAGAAGCTCACAGGATGAAATCCACACGGAAACTCAAATGTAAAAGAAAAAAGTCTATATTTTTCAACCCCTTCTGAAAAGGACCTCAGTTAGAGATTGATATGCTGTATACAGATCTTATTTCATGTTTCTGTCTCTATGTAGGCTTCATCTTATCATTAACGGCTATTTTTCATAATGTACTGGTTAGCCAAACTTGAAGTCCTGGAGGTGGGAAGTACAGTGCCTGCACTCTCAAGAAGGGGTTTGGGATATTTACTGTTTAGAGGGACATCTAAACTGTCATGTCTGTGTGCATCTGGCAAGACACTGATAGTGTGTATGATGGTGTAAGTTTTTTTTTTTTTTTTTTTGTGTTGCTCTGCCTCAGTGTTAGATGACCAGTTTGTTAAAAAAAAATTTGGCTGATAAATTTTCTTAACAGAACAGTATGTGACTTATCCTGAAAGGATGCAGTGTACATACCCCAGCCCTCATAAAATTCCCTTAGTATTTTTTCTCATGCTGTGTTTTGTCTGTTTATGCTCATGTGAATTACTTCATTCCATAACTAAAACTGCATCATGCAGACAGTTCCATTTCTCTCCAGTACTTGGTGAATGCTTCATAAAAATGGAAACATTTATAACTAATTTAAAATTCATTTTGCAGAGACCAGAATATGGGGCTAGTGAAGCAGTGCTTAAGTGCTCTTTATAAGAAGAACATCCAGCGCCTCACCCGTACATTCCTAACACTCTCTCTGGCAGATGTGGCCAATCGTGTTCAATTATCAACTCCGCAGGAAGCTCAGAAGTATATATTGAATATGGTATGTCATGGCGATGATTGTGCGCGTTGTTAAAATTTTATTGTTTGTTGTTTCATAACTATTTTGTTTTGAGGCATTGTCCAATTTAGATTCTTGTTTTTCAGAGTTCTTATTTTCACTTCTCATCTAAATATTATAATGTTGCATTATTCCCTGGGAAGTAAGTGCCTTGATGCTCATGAATAACTCTTGAACCAAGAAATTGGAGTTACATTCCCTTTCCTTGGATCAATGCTAATTACACTACCCATCTCTCCCATTTCCCCAGTAGCTGTATGATTCTGTTGGGTTTAGCATTCCCCATGAATTTAATAATAATTATAATGGACTGAATTATTCTTTTTCCCCACTGGTAGTTCACGTTTTTTCTTTTTTCCAACATGCCAGCCATCTCCCACCGAGGCAGGGTGACCCAAGAAAAGAAAGAAACACTTTCACCATCATTCAACACTTTCACCATCATTCACACAATCACTGTCTTTACAGAGGTGCCCAGATATGACAGTTGAGATGTTACTCCAAACAGCCAATATGCCAAATCCCTCCTTTAAAGTGCAGGCATTGTACTTCCCACCTCCAGGACTCAAGTTCAGCTAACCGGAATCCTTCACAAAACATTACCCTGCTCACACTCCAACAGTCAGGTCCCAAAATCCATTCATCACCATTCACTCCTATCTAATACTCACATATGCCTGCTGCTTGTCCTGACCCTTGTACACAAAACCACTTACCTCCTCCCTCAACCCTTTTCTAGGACAGCCCTTACTCCTCCTCCCCCTCCACTATGGATTTATACACCCTCCAAGTCATTCTGTTTTACCCCTTCCTCTCTAAATGACCAAACCACTTCAATAATCCCTCTTCTGCCCTCTGAATAACTTTTAGTAACTCCACACTTCCTCCTAATTTTCACACTATGAATTATTTTTTTATTTTTATTATCACACTGGCCGATTCCCACCAAGGCAGGGTGGCCTGAAAAAGAAAAACTTTCACCATCATTCACTCCATCACTGTCTTGCCAGAACGGTGCTTTACACTACAGTTTTTAAACTGCAACATTAACACCCCTCCTTCAGAGTGCAGGCACTGTACTATGAATTCTCTGCATAATATTTACACCACATATTACCCTTTGACACGACATCTCCATTGCCTCCAGCCTTCTCCTCACTGCAGCATTCATAACCCAAGCTTCACACCCATATTAGTGTTGGTACCACCATGCTCTCGTACATTCCCTTCTTTGCCTCCATGAAAAACGTTTTTGTCTCCATGGGTACCTCAATGCACCACTCGCCTTTTTTACTTCATCATTTCTATGGTTAACATTGTCCTTCATATACCCATCTGCTGATAAATTATAACTATGTTATTGGTATACATGTGTGATATATCATAACTGCTTAGAACTTCCCATTTCTGAGAGGTTGTATATTCAAGTGTTACAAAGACTCCAGATGTAATGCAGCTACCACTGACATGCAGATGCAAAGCAGCTACCACTGACATGCAGATGTGAAGCAGCTACCACTAACATGCATATGTGAAGCAGATTCCACTGACATGCAGGTGTTACCACTGACATGCAGGTGTGAAGCAGCTACCACTGACCTGCAGATGTGAATCACCTACCTTTGACATACAGGTGTCTGTGCTGTAGAACTATGTGATGAGTTTGGCTCACTCAGATGAGCAGTGAGTGGTAAATTTGGGTCTAGATATGAGAGAATGGGTTGATGCAGTAAGTGTGCACCATATAAAAGAATCCTGCCCCATGCAGTGCATAATGAAGAAAAAATTGTGGCCGCATTTTTAGTTTAAAATAGAGACTTTGTGGTGTATTTTCAGCTTGTCCAGTACACGTCCAGTGGGTTAGTCTAATGTGCATTCACAAATGCGCCTACATTATTTATTTATTTATTTTTTTTTTTTCAACAAGTCGGTCATCTCCCACCGAGGCAGGGTGGCCCAAAAAAGAAAGAAAATCCCCAAAAAGAAAATACTTTCATCATCATTCAACACTTTCACCACTCACACATTATCACTGCTTTTGCAGAGGTGCCCAGAATACAACAGTTTAGAAGCATATACGTATAAAGATACACAACATATCCCTCCAAACTGCCAATATCCCAAACCACTCCTTTAAAGTGCAGGCATTGTACTTCCCATTTCCAGGACTCAAGTCCGACTATATGAAAATAACCGGTTTCCCTGAATCCCTTCACTAAATATTACCCTGCTCACACTCCAACAGATCGTCAGGTCCCAAGTATCATTCGTCTCCATTCACTCCTATCTAACACGCTCATGCACGCTTGCTGGAAGTCCAAGCCCCTCGCCCACAAAACTCCTTTACCCCCTCTTTCCAACCCTTTCGAGGACGACCCCTACCCCTCTTTCCTTCCCCTATAGATTTATATGCTTTCCATGTCATTCTACTTTGATCCATTCTCTCTAAATGACCAAACCACCTCAACAACCCCTCTTCTGCCCTCTGACTAATGCTTTTATTAACTCCACACCTTCTCCTAATTTCCACACTCCGAATTTTCTGCATAATATTTACACCACACATTGCCCTTAGACAGGACATCTCCACTGCCTCCAACCGTCTCCTCGCTGCTGCATTTACCACCCAAGCTTCACATCCATATAAGAGTGTTGGTACTACTATACTTTCATACATTCCCTTCTTTGCCTCCATAGATAACGTTTTTTGACTCCACATATACCTCAACGCACCACTCACCTTTTTTCCCTCATCAATTCTATGATTAACCTCATCCTTCATAAATCCATCCGCCGACACGTCAACTCCCAAGTATCTGAAAACATTCACTTCTTCCATACTCCCTCCCCAATTTGATATCCAATTTTTCTTTATCTAAATCATTTGATACCCTCATCACCTTACTCTTTTCTATGTTCACTTTCAACTTTCTACCTTTACACACATTCTCAAACTCATCCACTAACCTTTGCAATTTTTCTTTAGAATCTCCATAAGCACAGTATCATCAGCAAAAAGTAACTGTGTCAATTCCCATTTTGAATTTGATTCCCCATAATTTAATCCTACCCCTCTCCCGAACACCCTAGCATTTACTTCTTTTACAACCCCATCTATAAATATATTAAACAACCATGGTGACATTACACATCCTGTCTAAGACCTACTTTTACCAGGAAGTATTCTCCCTCTCTTCAACACACCCTAACCTGAGCCTCACTATCCTCATAAAAGCTCTTTACAGCATTTAGTAACTTACCACCTATTCCATAAACTTGCAACATCTGCCACATTGCTCCTCTATCCACTCTATCATATGCCTTTTCTAAATCCATAAATGCAATAAAAACTTCCCTACCTTTATCTAAATACTGTTCACATTTATGCTTCAATGTAAACACTTGATCTACACATCCCCTACCCACTCTGAAGCCTCCTTGCTCATCCGCAATTCTACATTCTGTCTTACCTCTAATTCTTTCAATTATAACCCTACCGTATACTTTTCCTGGTACACTCAGTAAACTTATTCCTCTATAATTTTTACAATCTCTTTTGTCCCCTTTCCCTTTATATAAAGGGACTATACATGCTCTCCGCCAATCCCTAGGTACGTTCCCCTCTTTCATACATTTATTAAACAAAAGTATATGTGGAGTCAAAAAACGTTATCTATGGAGGCAAAGAAGGGAATGTATGAAAGTATAGTAATACCAACACTCTTATATGGGTGTTAAGCTTGGGTGGTAAATGCAGCAGCGAGGAGACGGTTGGAGGCAGTGGAGATGTCCTGTTTAAGGGCAATGTGTGGTGTAAATATTATGCAGAAAATTCGGAGTGTGGAAATTAGAGAAGGTGTGGAGTTAATAAAAGTATTAGTCAGAGGGCAGAAGAGGGGTTGTTGAGGTGGTTTGGTCCATTTAGAGAGAATGGATCAAAGTAGAATGACATGGAAAGCATATAAATCTATAGGGGAAGGAAGGCGGGGTATGGGTCGTCCTCGAAAGGGTTGGAGAGAGGGGGTAAAGGAGGTTTTGTGGGTAAGGGGCTTGACTTCCAGCAAGCGTGCGTGAGCGTGTTAGATAGGAGTGAATGGAGACGAATGGTACTTGTGACCTGACGATCTGTTGGAGTGTGAGCAGGGTAATATTTAGTGAAGGGATTCAGGGAAACCGGTTATTTTCATATAGTCGGACTTGAGTCCTGGAAATGGGAAGTACAATGCCTGCACTTTAAAGGAGGGGTTTGGGATATTGGCAGTTTGGAGGGATATGTTGTGTATCTTTATATGTGTATGCTTCTAGACTGTTGTATTCTGAGCACCTCTGCAAAAACAGTGATAATGTGCGAGTGTGGTGAAAGTGTTGAATGATGATGAAAGTATTTTCTTTTTGGGGATTTTCTTTCTTTTTTGGGTCACCCTGCCTCGGTGGGAGACGGCCGACTTGTTGAAAAAAAAAAAAAAAAAAAAAAAAAAAACCAACCACTCCATCACTATATCCCCCCCTGCTTTTAACATTTCTGTCATGATCCCATCAGTTCCAGCTGCTTTACCCCCTTTCATTCTACGTAATGCCTCACGTACCTCCACCACACTTACATTCTGCTCTTCTTCACTCCTAAAAGATGGTATACCTCCCTGGCCAGTGCATGAAATTACCACCTCCCTTTCTTCCTCAGCATTTAAAAGTTCCTCAAAATATTCTCGCCATCTACCTAATACCTCCCTCTCCCCATCTACTAACTCCCCTACTCTGTTTTTAACGGACAAATCCATACTTTCCCTAGACTTTCTTAACTTGTTTAACTCACTCCAAAATTTTTTCTTATTTTCGTTAAAATTTCTTGACAGTGCCTCTCCCACTCTTTCATCTGCTCTCCTTTTGCACTCTCTCACCACTCTCTTCACCTTTCTTTTACTCTCAGTATACTCTGCTCTTCTTATAACACTTCTGCTTTGTAAAAACCTCTCGTAAGCTAC